AAATAGTACACAATTAAAATGGAAAATAGCAAAAAAAAAAAACCGGGTGTGTGGTAATTTTTCCCTGGATGATTCTTTAGAACCGGAATTGTGATAATTTTTCACTGGATGATTATTTAGAACCGGAATTGTGATAATTTTTCACTGGATGGTTCTTTAGAACCGGAATTGTGATAATTTTTCACTGGATGATTCTTTAGAACCGGAATTGTGATAATTTTTCACTGGATGATTCTTTAGAACCGGAATTGTGATAATTTTTCACTGGATGGTTTTTCAGAACCTTACTCAAGAAATTTTGCTACTTTTCACATCTTTTTTCTCGCTTCCCTAAATTATTAGAAAGCTCTCTTTATAGAAGCAAAATTAATCATTGGCTGTAGAATTTACAATGATAACAACGACAGATCAACTTTCCGGTTGTTTTTCTTGATACCACAACAATCGTGGAACTTAGTTTTTAAAGGCAACACGAGCACAAATATGTAAATTTTGGGATGGTCTCTATCGAACATTTTTTTCTCGAAACTCTTTTTTGCTTCTTATTTTCAATACCCACTAATGCTCGATGTTTTGCTAAGATCACAAATGAGACTCCATATAGGTTGTGTATCTTTCAGACGACAAGCCATCTCTGAGATATTTTCCTTGTCCTCGGAACCCGCAGATATTTCATCAGAAGAAAGAATGACTGGAATTTTAGTTGCAGGCTGAATATTTGATCCTTTTGCATTACCTTGTTCCGAGAGTTCTGTAATTTGCAGAGTAGGTGAGATCAGACTATAATATGTGCTTCCGCGAAGTGACGTCACCTGAGGTTGGTAGGTGTGTGGACCATCATTCCGTGTTACACCTGTAATTATTGATTTCCTATTATTTTCTGAAGATGGTAATTCTACTTCTAAATTACCACTAGGCAAATAGAAGTAGATAGTGTTTGCAGTGCTGAAATTGTAACTTGATTCCGTATACTGAATAATTTGACGACGAGGTGCTAGTGTAGTAAGCGAAAACAGACCTTTTTCAACGGACGCTTCGGTTGAAAATAAGGAATAAAAGTTCGGGAATTTTTCAGAACCTTCGTTTGATACATCCTTTTCAGTAAGCGAGCTGATATCTGAGTCTTCGGTAGTTCCGGAACTATCATCTGCACCACGATTAATAAAAGAAACAGTGCTAACTCCTGATTTAAGTGAAATACGAGATTGGCCAACTGTAAATATACTGTATGGGTCGATTTTGGTCGTGCTGGAAACATCGCTTTGTTGACCGGTGCTATACCACAGTCTGCCTTTTCGTTCATTTAAGGTGCTCTCATCTTCACTTCCAGAACTAAAGCTATCGCTCCATGTGATTCCTCCCTCATTAGTTCTATCGGATTCGCTATGAATTTCTTCACGGGGTAGCAACATACCTTCATTGGTACTTCCAATTATACGCGTCCTGTATGACCTACCTGTCGAGAAGCTAACACTCTTGTTGGTATCATTAGTTGTGCCAAGTTCAGTAAAGAAAAAAGTGTCATTTGAATCATTTTTTATAGCATTAGCAGGGGAACTTGTGCCAGGAACAATGCTTAAGTCCGATTCAGGGTTTGTTCTGGAGCCAGAAGCAACACTTGAAGGCAGCTGTAAAGGAATGATCGAACCTAAAGTTAAATCGGATCTGCGATTGGAATCAGAAATTGATTGCGTGGCTATCAACTTCGTATATCCATGTTTCTTTGTTACTGAGGACGTTACTCGATACCCATCATTTTTCGCTTCATTGATTTTTGCTGTTGTTGAAGGCAAAGTTGAAGAAAGTGAAGAAGCTGCAACATAGGACGAGAAATACAGTTGCGGTATTTCTGAAGTATACCTAGTGCCATCATTGGTAACACCAATTTCTACAACAGGTTTTGAAGAACGAGAATGAAGAGGAATGTGAGTGAGAGATTGAAGGCCACTAAAGTTGTCGATTTTGTGACATTCCCTGACAAAACCATCGAATCCAATGGTCACTGCAATTGTCTCAGAACGTCCATGATCATCAATTGCTCGAACAGTGGCACAGTAACTATTTTCTATTTCTATAGGTAGCATTTCTTTTCTTAAGTTTATGATACCTGAAAATATTAAAAATTCCGAGTGCTGCTATCAAACATTCCAATGTCAACTATCTAACGCCTACGCTTCAATTTATGCTACATTTTAGTTTTTTTTTCTTTTAATTTGCTTTGAAAATTTAGTTAGAAGATTTAATGTAGGTCTGATATACAATAGAAATGGAATTATGTCGAAATAGGCCTCAAATTAATAGAAATGTGAATGAAATTAATTCCCTCTACTACTCATTCAAAGGATACCGCCTTAAGGTACGTACGTAATCATTGCTTCCAATATGTTTAATCAATGTATCTAAGGTAAATCACACCAGTTTCTGGGTTTATGCTGAAATAATCATCCATTTCACTGAAATTTGAGTAAAGTTCGTAACGAATGGTTGATTGACTTGCTGAAGTAGCCTGAATGCGGGCAATCTCGTCGCCAACATGCGGCCAATTTTCAGTTACCAGTGGAATATTGTAAATAGGAAATTCGAAACGCGGGCGGAGGAATAGTTCCGCATTACCATAAATAATTTCGTACGCAATAGATTCAGATGCTCCTGATGGATTATCATCGATAAAATGAACAAATTCCTAAAAGATTTATATATCTTGCTATACTACTGTTATTAATGAATTGTATTTTCATAACTAACCATTCCAGCTGCCATTTTTCGACATGTGAGTTTTTTCTGTTCACGCCTTTATCATTGGTATGTCGCGGTAAGCTCAAAAAAAAACGTATTATACCTACCAGATTCAACACACAGTAAGAAGTCGGCCACCGATCATTTGTCCGGCTTAATTCCAGTAACAATATGTAAGACAAAATCGAAGAGCACTTGATTTCTTTTCGAAGTTTTGAAGTATCGTAAACCATAGGAAATGCCGATTATTGAGATGTATTCAAAGTAGGCCTTTTCATGCTGTGTGAGATCTCTTTTTATGATTATATCTCAATTCCATTTGTCATAATGTACCTATTTAGTATAACATTTCTCTCAATCTACTTCGTATAAGTGCCATAAATCATTAAGGTTATGTAGTGGGACGGTTTTTGAGATGATTTACCGGATCAGTATTTGAACTCCAAATATATCGCGGATCGACGAGCTTTAGCATACCATTTTCGCCAACCTGATTCACTCGCAATACTTCGAACTCGTGTTCCAAATCAGCTGGATATGGAATTCGTCCATAAAATGATGTAAGTTGTTGTTGTGATTGACTGAATCGAAATAATGCAGTCTGCTGCCGAAAAGGTTTCCCATCAGTGCTACCACTTTTTTCCTTGGCCTGAATTTTTTTTTAAATCTGAAATGACCTGAATATTTGATTGATGTTAGAAATGACATTCAGAAGAGATAATATTTTAAGCAATAACTGCTTAGCTTTCATATCTTTTCGAAATAACTTAAAACCAAAACATTTAATGGAAGAATAGTAAAATGTTGTTTCGAAACGAATGAAAAAAGATATTACACTGATAAAGATCAATGGCGCAATGGTACGCATTACCGCCCTCTGCATATCGTAGTAAAACAATAAAGCTGAATTCGTTTGAAGAGAAACTAGAAATTTGGTTGGTGAAATAAACTGCTGGATAGTAAATGTTTGAGTATCTTCGAGTTCAATAAGTTCGCCATTCATCGAAGTCGTCATCTTGAGGTCACGAATTACTCCCCTCTACAAACAATTCAAATGTGCCAAAGCTCTTTATTTTACAGTGTGATATAACAAAAATTAAGCTATGATTACAGTATTCATTAGAAATATTCAGTACGACATACATATAAATATAAAATTATCGATTGAAAACCTCAAATCAAAACGGAAAGATGTGTTCATCATTTTGTAATTTGCAACACATCATACAATTCGAGTATCATTCAAGTTATTGCGAACGATTAACGAATTAAAAGTAAATTTTGCCTGCCCAATGTCAGTCGAAATATTGTACATAGCATTAACAGTTTTTCCGGACTCGATATTTGCGATTATGAAGTGTAAATCGGAAAGAGTCCTGTTTTCAATGCCAATACCACTGATAATGCCACTAATTCGATAAGTTAAGAAATTTTTCATGCTATCTGCTGACAGTACCGACAATCGGATTTCCTCCACTTTGACATTCTTGAGATTCGAGTAACTGGAATTGCGAACTATAGATTCATGATGGTTCATAAATTTCAAGTTATTTTGATTGCTCGGACATATTTCTAACTCCCATACCTTCCGGGTCTTAAGCAACCTGAAATCAAAACTAATGGTTTGCTCACGGCTATTTGGTATTCATTGTATTACTTACCTGATATCACAATTGCATTCGAGTATATCATTGAAAAACGATCTTCTGGAAAAGATCGAAAAGACCGACCAAGAATCCAGACAAATTAATTTCGCTCACATGATGTTAGCTATTTACGATTAAGATAGTTTGATAAATGTTGAAAACTTCATTTATCTTATTGGTTTTATTTTCCTCAACCATAGCATAAAAGAAGAGGATAATCACCTATGATGTGCAATTTGCAAAATAACTTGTTTGCAATGTATCCATTTCAAAGCATATCTCAAATATAACTTACCCCGTGTTCATAAAAGCGATCATCACGTTAAACATGGGCAGAGAAGTATTTACGTTTTTCGCATTTTCCGAACGCGTTAAGTTTGAGATAAAGTAATAAATTTTGAGCGATGGTCGTGGTCGAAACGTCACCGTCTGTGTCGCTATTCGTTGCACGCTTCTGCGACCATTTTGCGTAAATTTCAAAATCACAACTGCCTGGAACTATATCAGTCAAGGAGCAGCTATCAAATATGGTATAATTTTTTCCGGATTCTTACAAAAGTACTAATTCCAAGCAGAAAAGTTGCTAGCAAAACTTGACAAACATAATCCTCTAACCAGAAATTCAAAAACAATCACATATACATTAACTCAAAGTTTTCAAAGGTAACCAAAAATAACATTAAGGAGCTTCTGGCATTGCTTTATTACTTTCAGTTTCATAAAGCTTATTTGTAGATAGTTCCAGTTTAAATCTTCAAATGACTGTGTACTCGATCTTAAATATTTCGATGAACTTATCTCGAAGCGCTTGTGCATCATGAAAGTTCTCTATGTATCCTTTTGTGATACTTCCTGTGTTGATGCCAGATTTTTTCTCTAATTTGTTATTTAATAGCATACTTGATATTCAGTTTCACGAATCAACCGCATATTTTTGACCGGCTTCAGGCTCCAGATTGCGACAAATGATGCATTTGGTGGCAGTTTCGAAGCACGATCAATGCTGCCAATTCCATCCAGTGTAACCGCTCCAATCCGAAATTGCATGAATGTTGTGTCAACACCTGGTGCTATATAAGCACCACTTTGAATCATTTCTAATGTTACTTTCACAGATTCCAGTGGTTCATTCTGGAAGGAAAATTATTTGAAAATTCTGAATATTTAGATTCCTGGAAGACGCACACTATCAGCTGGTTGCTGTCATTAGAAGGAAGTTTTAAAATAATTTCATGGTTCCATAATAATTATCAAAAAGATCTTAACATTTTTTGAGGAGACCCCTCGGTGGTGGCATAGCTCAGAGATAATGCATGAGAGTGCATTACTTCAGTGCGAAATTAATTCAAATATCGGTGTTTTAGACGCCTGTTCCCATAAAAAGATTAAAATTTCAAACCTTTTTGTTAATCACTTTTAGTCTAATATGAAATTCACTGTTTTCATACGGTTTTTCGGGCGCTATCAGACTGTAAGCATAGGCACAAATGTCTTCATAACTCTTTCCAAGTGTTAAGATTTGTTGCGAACCAGAAATATTTTCCGATGGCCACGATAATAACCTTCCCATGTATTCATGAAGCAACGCGAATGGATTATCGGCACCATACTAAAATTCATCTGTATCTTATTTCAATCTTCTTCATTTTTAATTTCCCACTAATTCTATTTATAATGGTCTTTCAAGTCTGTTCAAACTCGTACATTAAAAAACTATACTCGCAAAGAGACATACCTGTCTTGTAAGTGTTTTCAATCGATCTGAGCTAACAATCAGTTCTCGAGCATCTGTGAATTTCATGCCAGTAAAGCTAGCTTTCGAGGAGAGGCTCGATATTGTAGACCACTGGACAACTGTAGAGTTCCAATAATGTGCCAGAATTGCGCCTCCTTTCTCGTCTTAAACAAAATAAAGTATGGTAAAGTTGATTCAGAAAAGAATCAAATGCTTAGAAATGATCAAATCCAACTGATGCAATTGCTTTGAAACCAAATTATAATATATACTAAATATATTCATTCAATGGTAAAAATCACCTTTTAATTTTCTGAATTCGGTCTCACTAATTGCAAGCCCATCTTCTGATGATTCGGATATACTTTCGAAAAATTTGTCGAACCATTGCCTATCATTAATTTCATCGAAATACTTGAATGGCAGTAAGTCCTACAAAGATTTTGCTATAAAGAATTCCAAGATCATAAAATTTCACCTTTTCGCTAATTCTTTAAATTAAATTTTCCGAATGGATGAAAGCGTCATCTTATGATAGATGATATGGCTAATAAGCAACTTTTGCAGGAATAAGTGATAGACAGCAACTGGACATAAAACAACGAGGAAAAGGGACAATGGAGAAACTAAATTTGAGGGATCGGATAGAGAAATTTAATTAGCATTAAAGCATGCAGACTTTTAAACGAAACAGTCCATATCTCAAAATCGTTAAATTGTGTCCCCTAACTGTGTTTCTAGCCGGAATTTTTTTCCGACTAGCCGGTAATAGTGGAAAGTTCGATCGGAAGGTTCTCCTTCCTATCGCCAATCTTCTGTTTTTAATAAACACATATATGATCTGACAAAGGAATACAGAGAATATTATACTGTGTTATACAGGAGATTCCCTCTAAACATACTGAAAATATACTGATAGAAACTTGTTTAAATATGTGGAAGTCTGCAAGGATTAGCAGTACTTTATGCTTACATAAGCATTAAGAAAACTAACATTAAGCCGTTCAAAAAACGCATTGAATAGGGCTACTGTATCTACCGTTTGTGATGCCATCACTTTCAAAACCGGAAAATATTTCTGCAATATTTCATCTGCCTGTGCGCTAACCATGGCAAGCTGAAATATTGAAATTTTTGAAATTCAAAGATTTAGCTCTTTTCCCGTTTCTTTTTTCCCACATAATTTTTTTCTTTTTTAACTTCTTGTCATTATACATGTCTAAAACTCTTTGCGAATAATCAAATTTATAAGAACAAAAAGGACATATCAGTCTGTTCAATTAAAATCATCTAATCAAACATGGTATCCAAATTCCTCTATACTTGGAGGGTATTTTTTGATTGCATTTGGATGGAAATCGCTTTGCACCAAAAAAAGTTCCGATCTTAAAATTAAGTGAATAAAATCGGTTTTCAACTTTTTTGAATAAGATCGAATAAGAATGAATAAGATCGGAATAGCATTTTGACTGAAATATTGTCATTATTTATGGATTATGTTTGAATAGAAAATGAACATCTATCAAAACCCAATCACCTGATCGAAAAACTGTGTTCTTTGTTGACTTTCCCATGAGGACCTATTTTTGGTAAAATGTCGCTCCTGTGATACCGGGCAATGACTATCCAGTGAAGAAGCACATCTGTACAAATTAATTCAGTGTCAAAATTAGAAAATTAGAGATATGGGAATTTTTATTTTCAAACAACTGTCTGCAACAGACTTCCTTTTTATAGGCTTTGAAACACAAAAAGAAATATAATCATTGATAGATCACTTCCTAAGATGCATTCATTTTGGAAAATCAATATTTTGAACTATCTATTCAAGATCATTGCAAAATTTACGCAAGAAATTGTCTGATTTTATGAAAGTCGACTCCAGCCGTTCGACATTCCGCCATAAATACAATGAACATAGCTGTTGTTTGTAGTGATACTGTATCATCCGGAATGTATTTCCAAGCAGTGCCACAAGTTGCTGCCGAAACATACTGTCTACGACAACGCTCTTTCGTCTTCATTGCACAGTTGCAGTAGATGGTAGTTTTGGTCCAAATTGACGCTTCTTTTGATGCAATTTGCAAACCAACTGAGATTACCAAAATGCACAAAAATTTGGACCACTTTTGGTCATCTTACATTGATAATTAAAAAGATACCGACATTAAGAGCCATCTCAACCCTAGCAAGCGCATCTGTCAACATTCTGCAGAAAGATGCTGTCTACGACAATAGCAATCGTAGAGATCCAAATACAGAAAAGCTAATCGATTGAATTCATTCTTTAGACATTCAAATGGAAGGTAGAATTTTAGAAAGAAAAGAAGTAAGCAGTCCTAAAAGTTTAAGGAACCAAAAGTTCTTGGACAATTGTATCAGTACCAATTGTCAATCAGTTTTGCTTCTGAGCAAATAATTGAAAACGAATTACCCTCGCAGAGATGAACTTTATCACTTGTCTTATTCCTGTTATCAGCCAGTATCACAATATCCCGTGCATAATTTGATATCGAGGTTGGTACTGTATAAATATAAGGAATTTGTAATGCAAAAACAGTGCATGGAGTTTTCTTTACTGCCTGATTCGATACACGCGACAGCTTGCACTTCATGTAATAGCCATCCCCAAGTCCTAGTCCATTCCTGAGATCAGCCTGTAAAACTTCTTTCATCTTTGGTATGCGCTGACTGAAACAGTTTCTTTTAATCCAGAAATTCAATTCAAGTTTTATACTTTTATTTGTTTACTTCTTTATTTATATCAAAGTTTCAAGCACAAAATTCAACGAACCGTTGCGAAGGTAAATGGAAGATGTTCCTCATGAATTTCAACAGAGGGTAAAAAAGCTGTATGATCACTTGGGCCATTCGAATCACTGCTTATCAACAACTTCACTTCTTTTGTACCATTCACGGGTACCAGTATTGTGGATGGTGTAAAATGGAGCTTAGGGAATGGAACCTGCAAAAATTCATGTAAAAACGAAAGCATTTTTATCCTCCAAAAAATTTCAATGGCCATGACAGCAAAATTTCGTGAATGATAAAAGAACTCGAATTTAACACAAAAATTAGTTATCGAAGGAAATAATACGTGTATGCATTAAAATGAAAAGATCTTTTTGGATTTCAAATATGAGAGCATCCAGAAATTTAAAATTTCATTGGAACCGAAACCTTTCAAAAGTCAAAGTTTGAGTTTTACCTTTCGTTGTTCATCAATTTCTTCCAACAATAATCTTCCATCTTCAACAACTGGAGAATAAGGTGAAGTAATTGGAGCAAACACCACTAATGAGGAATTAATAAATGATGGCTGAAATCAATTTTTTGACTCATTATTAACTAAATAAAATCCAAAGAGATTGAAAAACTATCAAAGAGATAGATCAAAGAGTTCGAATACCTGGACGATCATAGTGACCGATACATGAGTCGGAGATTTAACAGTAAGCTGATATGTTCCTTCAATAATGGAGAAAAATACAACGGGTTCTGCAAGAAGATTTGAATTATTCTCAATTGAACGCCACTGTATAATTACTGCCAAAGAGATATACCATTTGTACAAACAGCAAAGAATACTATACTAAAATTTCTGATTACTCCATCATCACAATAAACGCTCTAGGGGCCTCTAAGGTATTTCAGTTTCAGCATTGCGTATTATTATGAAAGTAACACTTATCCTTCTTATCATCAAAAATCTTAACCACTTCTTTTCCTGATTATATATTCTTAAATCAAATACCATTTGGTTTTGTCTTCCTTTTATCATCATAGCCAAGTATATCATTCCGGAGCATTATCTCCGCATCACTAACAACATGAGTTGGATCCAACACGCTCAGTTCGTCCATTACTGTTATTTGGAAATCAAATAAATCCGAAGTGGCATAGTTAAAATATTCTATCGTAAACAGTCGCTGTAAAAGACATTTGATGCAATAATAAAGGAAAAAAAGTAGTTTGAAGAGAATAATTTAAGCTTAGTAACATGAAAGATTTTGCTTAGTTTCATGTTTGAAGTTTTAAATTGTTGAAATTATTTTGTGTCAACATAGAGAATACTTTTTCTGATGATGTTATTGTTGTTATGAAATAAATCAATGGAAATCAATCAATATGGAAGTCTCAGATTGACTAATAATGTTCGTAATTATTCTACACTTCTATTCAAACATCCAAAGTCATAAACTTGCAGTTTCTACTGAAATTCAATAGCACCTTATTTCCATCGAATAAAATCAAGTCACCAGCAGTCGTCCAATTTACAGTTCCTCCATTTAATAGCAGTCGATAGCTGAGGAAGAGTGTAAGCATTGATCCCGGACTGCTGAATTCCATGATATTTTGCATCAGTGGTTTGGTAGATACCAGAAATAAAGGACTGTGGTCAGGTTGAATGGAAATTCGTGGCGCAGCGACAAATCGATAACCCTCTTTATTTATAATATTCACCTTAAATTTTCTTCGAGTGCATAAAAATAAGTGAATTAGTGTAATATTGAGAGAATTATAAACAAGAATAAATAAACTTAAAGATCGGAACAGAAGAGAAAGAATTTCTCCCTCCATTTAATTCTTAGTTTTTTAGAAAACTTATTGAATAAACAGGAAAACCGTAATAATCTTCGGTGGTATTCTTGGTGGAGTGGAAATAAGTATCTCCGATGGATATGATGCAAATATCGGTCTTTCCCGGTCAACTTCTATTTGCTGACTGAAATATAAATGATTTAGAAAAAAAAATGCCTGACATTTCTTTAAACCTTTTATCTATTAAAACAATTCCGAAATTTAATTTTCGAAAAAACAAATTATCAATTGGTGATTAGTTTTGAGGTACGTGAGATAATACTTCGTTGCACCTGATTAGTTTCTTGGGTGTATCGATGCATTTGAATTGAAGGATAAGAGTAGTGCCATCAAGCGTACTGCTAGCAGCAAATGTAACCTTCATTGACTTTGATTCACCAATTGTTATACCTTTTACTATCTAAAGATTTGAATGTTTCAAAAATATTAAAAGAAATTTCGAGAAAAAGAAATCACACTACTGAGCAATCTTTTGGGAAAAAAAAAGCTCACAGTTATCGAAGTTATGCGTTTGGTAACTATTAACAACAATCAGAAAGATTGAAAAACAAGGGGAGATACTCAAAGTTTCCTCGGGTTATGTAATCCTAGAGTCATGAGAAGTTTGAATTTACAAAGAACAGAGACTTGTTTAGAATCACACCACATATGTTCTTGATTGGATAGTATTCCCGAAGTCTCTCACGCATTCTTACTCCTGAATAGTATTCAAAGATATAAACCTTTTCGTATTTTGCAATTTGTACTTTATCACGTGGTATAATTAATTCCAACTGACAGTTCAGAAGCAATTCTTCGCCTTTATTTTTTAACTGATATTCTTCATCAATTTGTTCGCCTGGTTTCATTTTTATTTTAGGAGCATATTCAATATCAAAGTTATGTGCAGCCCACGTTGCATTATTGGACGATGTAATTGCATCAGGTTTTGCTGCACCAGGATGCACCACAACCTATTATATAAGCAAAGTATGTGATTGATATTAACGATAGTTAATTCACTTTGAAAAAATCCATATCACAATATTTTAGGAATAACCCATAATTCCTAGTATGTTTCTCCTGAGATCAACTAGTGAATAAACTTTGTACTGCTTATTGCATTTTACTCACTTTATAGTTCATCCTTACTTTATTTTACTTTACTTTCATTTCAGCTTCTCTATCAATTGCGCTCAATAGCCTTCTTCGGTAAGATGGAATATTATAAAATACCCCGATGTAAGCAAATGAACAAAAATATCAGTAAAAAGATTATTAGACAAAGTAGAAATAGCAATAAACCACTGATGTTGAGATCGTTTCATCGAATGGATAGTATTCAAATCTAAAGCGACCATCACTCTTACTTGTTGTTGTGGCATTTGCCACCAGCTTACCATCCTGATAAACCAGCATTTTTACCGGGACCTTACCGATAAGCTGTAATAGCTTCCTAAAGCACTGTGGACAAGATATATAATTAGACAAACTGGATATTTTTGGACAAACTTATTTTTAGCTTCTGAAATAATTACTTTGCTAAGATAAAACATACTTTGTCCACTACTTCAAAAAAGTAATGTGCAATATTATTGAAAGTAATGTACAATATTATTCTTTAACTATCTTTGTTATCCTATTTAGCATTTGAAGTAGGAACCTACTTTTGTATTGCAATTAACGACTCCACTAATTATTTTCATATTTGAGTCGTCAGCACTTTCCACCTTAGTGATCACTGGGGTATACATCGGCTTAACAGTTAAATTCCAACTAATCGCGAATCCACCGGTGAGCGAAGCAGCAGTAACGTTTACAGTATATGGCTGGACACGTCCGATTGGCTGCGCCCAAAATACCATGCCGTTCGGATAAATTATCATTCCATGAGCATCTGTTTCAACATTGAATATCGTATTCTCTTGCTAAACACATGTCAAACAGTAATTGTATTTAATTGGTATTTATTAAAATTCCAGATTTTTCGGAAAAGTGATACTAAACAAAAATCAAATAGCAATTGACTCTGACATTCAGCTTATCTAAAGCAAATTGATGTTTCACGTGGTTTCAAGCCAGGGAAACTATATACAGTTCTTGGAATGTATAAATAGAGGAGTCCGTAATATTCTGGAATTTTAATAAGTGCTAACTGTGTGATTTTGAAAAAGCCAAGCACATTTAAGCAATAAAAAGTGAGATTAATTTTTTGATTGGATATTAAATTTGGCCATAATTCATTAAATATGAATTATTAGAAGTATTATACAAACCTGAACAGGCATTTTGACAGTATACGGTTCGCCTTCTACAGCCTTTGTTAATTTTTCATTGCTCAAAATTTCACGATCCAATTTTGGTCGAATTTTTGTCTAAAAAATAATTTACAGGAAAAAGTTTTCCTACATTGTAATGAGCCAGAACTGTAGCGCAATCGGTTATGCTAACGCTGGTAACACAGCGTACTTATTCTTGAGAAATATTTTAATTCAGTTTTTCGAAACAGTGACTAAAGTCAAGTTTGCCTCTTACAGGAATCTTTTAACTCCTCAAGTTAAAATACATTTAGTTTTAGTAATCTCAATATTTAACTGCAATGCTATTACTCGGCAAATGCTCTATAAAGAAGTAATTAGAGATGATTTCCGAGAACAGTCCTTAAAAATTTAATATATAAAGACTAAACTGAAAAAAAAAACTAGGCAGTAACATAAAATCGTCACCTGATCACAAAATGGACCATCTCGATCTATAGGACATACACAAATTGCTCCCAAACAATAGCCTTTGCAATCTGCTTGATTGCATTCATTATATAAAGTGAAATGGATCTGCAAATAAGAACATATGAATAGATGTAAATTGAATTAATGCCCATCCAAATGTTCATCTGTCACTGACAGCTTTATCCATCACTACATTAAACATTGGTTAGTATTACGTGAAATTGAATTGGTACATACCAAACGCTTGTCGAGAAAAGGAACAGCTTTATCGGATCCATATGGGATGATATTAAACAGATAACGACCTGGCAAGGCTAAACTTGGAATTGTACAACGTACTAACGACGATGAAACATAGAAACCATCGGACGCTGTGCTACCATACAAACACGTGTAACGTTTTGATGGTACGCTGAAAACATAATTCTTGAATATCATTTCAATATAATTTCTCGTCTATTTAATAATGGAAATGTTTATCAACTACAGTGTTAATGGTAAAATTAAGTTGCACGTGGATACAATTTTAGTAAGATTTCAAAGTGTCAAAGTTTAAAAATTATTCAGCAACTTTACCGTAACCACTGAATATTTCTTGGAGAGTTGAAAGAAGTTCATAGTATGTATCAGATTTCTACAGCTGTCTGTAAAAATAATCCATTCTGCGCTCATAAATTTGTTCATCGCTTTCTGTTATTTTTAAAAATCTTGCTTACTTACAAAGGTAAATCATTGCCGTAAACCAAAATATCTTTTCCCTTCTGATGAATTCCAGCAGCTGTTGGTAAAACATACAACACAACTGACATTACGTCGCATTTCTCAACAGCGCAAATGTCGCAGCTTTGACCAGTCCAACCATCACGACATATGCAAGTTCTAAATAAATGTTAAAATTTTCGAATGTTCAAACAGTGAATGAACAAAGGCGACATTGTGATTTGAAATCAGTATTAGAACTTTTTCACCTATTCGTCCATCAGAAACGTAAACAATATGCTCGTGTTCCGTAAGTTAAGTTAAGACTTACGTGTTCCGTAAGTCCGTAAGTTCCGTAAGCAGCTACCTGTTCGTATGACAAATTTACCGCCCGCTTGCAACGGACATATCAGTTAGCAATGAAACGAAGATCGTAATTTTTCAAGTTTTAATATTTGTTTCCATTTATAGCTTACTTATGCCTTTATAATTCATATTCTAATTCTAATACCTAATCTAAATTTCTAATACCTAATCTAAATTATTCAGCAACTTTACCGTAACCACTGAATATTTCTTGGAGAGTAAGAATTTTCTCTCATTAGCTTTTTGTTCGCTTTATAAAACGAATTAGCTAAATTTTGTCTATTTTGTAAACTTTCTCGAAGTAGGTAACCTCTCGACTCTTCTATCTATTCCAATGATAATATGCAAATTGCTCTCTTTTGATTTAAATGCAGTTAAAGTTTCTCGTTATCATCTCATGCAGGGAAATTAAAGAACTTTTTCGTCACAAATCAATTTGTCGAGTACAGGATTTCAGGGTAATGAATTGATTTAATTATCATTATTACTATGATAGAATATAAAACATGAGGTTCCAGGAGTACGTCAAAGTTTATACTTCAGTAGGGTATCAAGAAGGCACGTCATATTAAAGTAAAAATAACACGAAAGTGATAAACCTTGTATTAGAGTTGCAATGCCCGTGAATACATTTGGCATCGCAAAAGTCGCGGGTCGGACCTTCAAAAATTGAACAATCATCCCCAGCAAATCCATGGAAACATTCGCAGACCTGAGGTCGAATGCAGGTGCCTGAACCGGAGCAGTTATTCAACTGATCACATAGTGCCCTCGAGCAAAACTGTCCTGTCCAACCGGTTTCACAAACGCATTTACTGTTGATGCATAAACCGTGATTGTTGCAATTTGCGCTTGAACAATTACTGATCTGTTTGCTGCAGTCAACACCTAAAAATCTTTGTGCTTCCTTAAAAAGACATGAAACTTAAAAATGAATTATCTATTGATACTTAGAAGAATCATTTGTTTCTTTTGGCTAAGGACTTTTCGGAACTCACAGTCAGTATTTAATAGTATTTTGAGTGCACTGAAATTAATTAATAAAGCCATTTTCATTACTGTATACATAAGAGTACCCACCATCAAGTAATGGACCTCTTTTTTTGATTTGGCGCTTCTATTTTTTCTTAAAAATATTTGGATCATAATTTCAGCCGACAGAAACAGAGGATTATAATTTTTGAATCTTCTCAAGCCTGAAAATTCCAACCTGTAAACATTGGGTCACAATTACATTCATTGAGCGACACGCAAGTACCATGCCCAGTGCAATTATTTACCAAATGACAAGTCGGCTCTGAACAGTCGTGGTGTTGCCAGCCATCGAAGCACTTGCAAACATTCGGTGCTATGCAATATCCATTCCTTGAACAGTTTCTTAATGCCAAGCACGATATTTGCGCGCAGTCGGGCCCCATATACCCGACATTACAGTGGCAAATGTTCAGGCCTAAAGTGCGGAAAAATTTTTTTCGAAATTAAAAACTGCTAATGGAAGCCTTTTTTAAAGTGAATGAAAATTGCAAACGAATTTTAAAGTTTGCATCATGAAAAGATCAAATAGCAGGCAATATAATAATAATAAGTTTATTGGAAACAATGATCAGTGAAAAAATGAAATGAAAAAATGTTCGCTACTCACCAATACAATGGCCATTATGAGAGCAATTTGAAACAGCCAAACATTCTTCAACAGCTCGTTTCCGGCTAATCGAATTGATTTGAGTTCGATCTACATTGAAAGATTTCTTCTTTTAGTTCAAAGAAATGCTACCCATATAGGTCGGAGAGAAGTCTATTTTGAATGTTTTCCGATAGTAATACTCCAACTGATCGAACAAAAATTCAAAATAAAATTTAACAACTCAAAAATGAAAAAAAGTTAACAATAATTGCAAAAATTTATCACGCTATGAATTGACAGAAATTAAAATGCCATTCTAATTGGAAATAGTATGACATTATCTGAAGAAGAAAGATTCTAACCTTTCAGCTCCAAAATGTTTTCTCCTGCAGTAAGCCTATCATCGTTTCTCCAGTAGTTCCTAGCAGCATTCAGTGCCTTGAAAAAAAAAGATAACTTCAATAATATTAACAGCACAGATTCTTGTCATAAGCAAAAAAGAAAGTAAAATAAAAGAAAAAATAAAAAATAGTACAAGCAACACTAAAATCATTCTTATCATTAATGATAAGAAAAGTTGATTGGGTAAGAAATGAAGGAAACGAAAGATGTTTTAGAAAAAAAAAAATTGCAAAATATTTTAAAAAACTTAATTTATTGCATGCATTAAAGGATTGATTAATGTGTTGTACTATAACAATAATATAATTTAAAAATTAAAAATAAAAACAAAAAAAATTAGACTAAACAAATGGAGGAATACCTTCCGTT